CTCAGGATGAGCTTCGCTTGTTCTCGCTGTATTGCCGACCCAGAAATCTGTCCGCTCCTCGCAGCAGATCGCAGCAACGAGCCTCGCAACGAGCCTCGCAACGTCCCGACCAATCAGAGCATACTGGGCTGGGCTCACAGGGAGGGGGGGGGCAGGAGCTCCAACAAGCCGTTTAGGACAGAGAGTGAATACACATACTATACAGAGATGCTGTATGAGAAACCAACGTGAGTTTGGAACATTGAACGATATAAATCTATTTTTAGTAGACCACAACAATGGAATTATGATCAGTAGAAATGGCCTTGACATGGGACCTTGAAAAGACAAAAGTGGGGAAAGAAACAAGCATCACTAAAGTTAATATGTTCTTCTAATGGAACTGAAAAAAACACAATTTTGAGCTGCACTAAGTCTTAATAAATCATAAAGACTGCAGTTAGTCTGGACTGAGCCGATACTCTATAATTGAATCAACTCCAATATCCAAAACCCACACCATTGTGTAACTGTCACGAGAGGAACTGACATTTGTCCAGCAGATGGGTCAAATTAACTATTTTTTCAGCAAAGCAAGAGCAATGTTTGTTTTTACATTTTCTATTTAAAGTTTATTAACATTGCATATCTTGGTTCCAGAGAAGTATGAGCTGTTCTCAAGATGTGCATGTTCTCTTGTGCAAAATAAACCAGTGTTCTTTATTATTACATTTCTTTCTGCACCCAAGTTATACTTTTAAAAAGTGGTGGGGACAAAATTGTCAATTTCAAAAAGTGGTGGGGACATGTCCCCAGTGTAGATGACACCTATGGGGGAATGGCTGAATGGATAGCTGTTTATGATGGCCGGGAGAGGAGAGCTTCATGCTTACCCCCAAAACACACCAGGAGCGTCTGCGCCGCGTTACGTTGCGGCTGCGCCACGCTGCGACCTCCTCCTGCGACAACACACACCAGACGCGTTTCAAAACGTTGCGGAAGCGGAGCGTCGTGTGTGCAGCCTCGCAGTTGTTGTTGATTTTGGAATATTTCCTGGACATTTGTACTTCTACAAGTAAGTAGGCTATACGTAGTTAAATGGTTTATGTTTGTGTCTGTTTAAATCGTGTTTATTGTTGTTATTTCCTATTTTGTTGTGTTGTAGACTACAGACACAGTTAATAATAATAGTAATATTCCAGTTATAAACGACATGAATCAAAGATGTGTTGCTGTATTTTAGTGGTAAAAAAATATGCATTCATCATCATAATTATTCTATATATATATATCATTTACAGTGCCTGTAAACCGGAGGAGAATGCTGGCATGTATTCTCCTACTTGAAAGACTACGGGGGGATGGGGGGAGGAGTTTACCTTACGGCTGCGCCGTGGCAAAAATAGGATTCATCCTAATTTTAGAGAAGCGCTACGCCGAGCCGCTTCTGGGACGCGTCTGAGCCGTAACACGGCGCATGTGGTGGAATAGCACCCATTGACTAGAGTGGCCGCGATCCTTACGACCGCCGCGGCGCGGCCGTAACGCGACGCAGACGCTCCTGGTGTGTTTTGGGGGTTAGTGTTACTTTCTGCCGCAGGACGGGAGTTGTTGAATTGTACATTTTATTTACTTCGGGGAACAGGGACCCGGGACAGACAGGTCTGGTGCGGCGGCTCCAAAGCAGCAGGACACCCGGACCTTTTCCAATAATGTTCCATTATCAGACAGTTATACAAATGTAATCACTCATAAACCACAAACACTCAGTTCTGCTTAATGAGGCTGTCAGAAAAATATGTTTCATTTCCTATTTGTACACAGATTTTGGCAGATCCTAGCCATTAATAGTATTAAATGAGGGACAGTGGTGTAAAGTAACTAAGTACTTCAAGTACTGTACTTAAGTACAATTTTTAGGTATTTGTACTTTACATGAGTATTTATTTATTTTCTACTTTGTACTTCTACCCCACTACAATTCAGAGGCAAATATTGTACTTTTACTACCTTAAATCAGTAACTCTAGTTACTTTCCAGATGTGGATGAATGATGGTAAATATAACCAAGTGTTAAATCAGACTTTAGTTCCACCTGGAGTAAATCCACCAGCTACCCTGCAGTATACAAAGTCATTCAAACTAGCTGCACCTTTACCAGCTTTGAGAACACTTTCATGATCAATCATTATAAAACATATCATATATATTATTCTGAAATGGACCAATCTGCACAATGACTACTTTTACTTTTGATACTTTAAGTAGGCTATATTTTGATGCTGAAACGTTTCTACTTTTACTACTCTGGTACTACTTTTACTGAAGTACAAGATCTGAGTACTTAGCCCGATACCATGGAGACCCTCCACTAGAGTGTACAAACATGCTATGACAACGGACAGATACAACGGTATTTAGCAGCTTCATTCACGGGACAAGCAACAGACAGTGTCAAACATACCTGCGCCGGGGTGGCGGAAGCAACCCATGGAAGCAATCACGGTAAACAGGAAGTAGGCGGGCCTGTGTACCAACGAGCAAGAGGCAGACAAGCAGACACCTCTACCGTTATTATAAGGCGCCCTCTGGCGGTGACAAGGAGAATGTCCTTTTAGGTTTTTTGGAAGTGATGAACCAACAAATATCAAAGACCTTCCGTTTTAGAAAGAGTTTACATAGTAATGGCGATTATGGTGATGTAAGTAACCAACCCTACTAATCTCTGGCCTTCTGTCTATGTAAAAGCATTCCAATATTTTATTGAAAGGGAGTCAAAAGCTCAACTGTATTTTGTTTCCACAGCAAACTGGTAGCCTATGTGGACAGGGGGTCTCAGATGAGTCCAGGGTCCTGAACACACAGAGGTCTCAGAGGGCCACATTGACCCAGCAGACGGAGAGGCTGTGCGCTGCAGAGGATGCGCGACACGCCGCTGTTCTGGAGAGAGTCAGACCTCGAGAAGCAGCTTTTTCCAGAAGTCCAGATCTCTCTTGGCGAAAGAGGATAAGCGTTCTAGATGTACCTCGTTTGAAATGGGAGTACATCAACAAAAACCAGGGCCGTCCTGAAAGTCTGGAGGAGGAGGACCACTTTTGGGACAAGGTGCTTCTTGCCAAGACATGCGTAGCAGACAGAGACAGGAAGCCAAACTGGTCTTCCTCTTTCCACCGCCTCAGCCCTGTTCACATACCCAGTGAGCTGAGAGCCATTCCTCTGATAGATACACCCCCACCCCCTCCTCTTCCTGCTGCTGCTCCTCCACCCAGGAGAAGAGCCTCTCGCCTGCCTGTGTTTCCTGCCAGAGGAGCAGGTCAGTTTCTCAATAGACATACTGTTGAAGGGGGGCGTCCATCACTGAAAAACTCAAACGTTGGATTTAATTAAATGTGTTATGTCAACAGATTTCACATTGTATCAGGTTAGTTGAAAGCAATAATATTAAGTTTATATAAAAAATAGTAGGTTCAACTTAATTTGACTGCTTTCAACTAACCTAATACAGTTGTGTGAAATCTGTTGACATAATACATTTAATTTAAGTCAACATTTCAGTAATCTTTTCTGGGGACCCCTGCTGTTACCAGGTCGTTTAAGTGTCTGATGGATGTTCATTTTTAAAACACCTGCATGTTTGCATTACTTATGTGACCGTCTATGTTTCTTGTAGATATTGTATTGCTATTTGTACTGCACTGTTAGTGTACAGTTGTATTATTATGCTGCTGTTTTTATTGTATTTTTGTAATATGGCACAACAATTTCCTTCGGGATGAATAAAGTTCTATCCTATCTTATCTTAACTTAAAATGTCTCCTCTAACCTAGAGTACTGTGGAAATGTAAAGTTGTGCCGTTAATCTCAGCAGACAGGGTGCTGGTGAATGGATGTCTACTCCACTCAGCCAAAAGTCAAGTTGAGACCTTTTTGAAAACAATTGACCGTCTTAAGCTTGGCTCCGCCCCTTCACCAACCCCTGCTGCTCCTAAGAAAACCCCCGCAGGGGCTCGCAAGAAGGGCTCTACAGCGGAGGCCAACATGTTGCCCCCGTTGGTCCCGACCCCTCCAACAGCCAGACTAAAGGGGAACTCAACCTGGGACGCTGTAAAACACCGTCAGTGCAGATGAATTCATCCATATACACCTGAACTAGTTTAGAACAAGCTGTGAACTTCATACAGAGGTATAATCATGGTCCTTCGTGCATTCAGCAGAAAATAAATAGTTTGAAATGAAGCATTAAGTGATTCGTTTGTCTCAGATTTCCCTGTATTTGTCCCTCCTAAGCCACTGTTGTGTCGCAGTGAGAATAACTATATTAATGTATAAATACCTTTTCAAAAATTACAACATAAATAAATACAATTATTTAACGTAATTCTACATTTACATTCACTTACAGATATTTCTTTCTTTCTTGAATGGTAATGATGTGGGTGGTCTGAATGTAAAGGAGAAATAAATATATTTATCTATTCATGTCTTGTTTTATTTTCAACTATTGTTATTATTATATATTTCTTTTATTTATGTATTTATCCACTTATTTTTGTTATACAACTACTGTACACACTGTGGTTTATCAACCATTAAACACAGCCACTGTAGGAAAGGATTCATTTAGAGAGAAAAGCAAATGAATGAGAATCAGCAAAAGGGTTGCACACAGAGAGAATGAGCGGCTCCAGCAGAATGTGAAGACACACACCGAGCAGTTTATGTGGAAACAATCTGCCCAACCTGCCCATGGCTATTGTTCCCAAGCAAGAACTATTACCACTAATAACGGCTTTTCACATACGAGGATGAAAAGGCGAACTCACTGTGAGGGATTTCATTTGCAGATTATATTGTTGTGTATAATGCCGGAGCAAATATCTTGTATAATGATATTTGAACGGTCCAATAACAATAACATTGCAAATGCAGTCTTCTAAAGCTCAAGCACAAGGTGCTGAGTTCATAGCGCACCAACAGTGAAACCTGAGAGGAAGACTGTTTTTATTAAAGCTTCCATCATCTCAAATATTGTGTTTTTTATTCTCTCATTAACTGGGAAACATTGGAACAACCCTCATAATGCCCAACCTTTGAATAAAGAAAAATATACAAAACTAATACATCACAACGGAACGGAAACACTAAAAAGTGATGCACACAGATGGGACCGGAGCACCTGTTGACATTCAGGGATAGCTAACCTAGCTAAACTAGATTATCAGATCGGAAGGAAAAAAACGATCACATTGTTAAAATAAGCCAATAAAACTTCAATTTGAGATACGTTCCCAGTGACAGTGGGCCATTGTATCATCATATAATCCCCGGACATCAAACCCTCTGGTCTCAGCTGTGACCCCTAACAGCCACCATAGGTTAGAGCTAAAACCAGACCATCATATAATGGCATAAAGCTGCAACAATAACTTATTTATTATCATCTTGTTTAGCCGTTTGTTTTTTTATAACATGTTTAGAAACTGCTATTTATATTATATATTTAGGCCTAATCCACAACTACTTGCTGCCAGCTAGAGTAAAGAGGTAAGGGACTTGCTAGTTGTTGGCATGGTGGAGAATTGAACAGTTAAAGACTGATATATTTCCCTCTGGTATTGGTGGAGACCAAAACAGAGCTAAAAGGAGTTTTTAAATTGAATACAAATATGCCTCCAAATAAAAAATGTTGTCTCATTGTGGCTTCACAAGTGAATAGCAACCTTTATATATACAGTCTATGATAGCAACACAAGCTATTTGCTTTAGAAGATCATATTTCAGTCTAGTGCCAACAGCTTGTTCTGCTGCCCCCATGTGGCCAAACATCTATTTACACAGCTTTAATTACTTTCTCTTTAAAATGGCAGCACTAGCAGTACACATTTTCTATATGCTTTAAACATTTAACCAACCGTGCCGACAATAACAAATATAGGTCACGTGTTGCCTAGAGGAAAAACTGTACTTTGGTAAATGACATGACAATAACATGTTGGAGTATGCTTGTAATAAAGATGTACAGCTCTGGAAAAAAATCCAAATTGTTCTTAAATCTCAATCTCTACCTGTATGGCAGCCATTCCATTCCAGTGTCTGTTGAATTCCAACACAGAGAAATGTGGTCAGTAGTTTATAGAATTTAAACGAAAATCTCCATTTGGTTGTTACACCAGCAAACTTCAAACACTTAAACAACATTTAATGTTAATTAGCGCTTGCCTTTTATAAGGCATCAAGATGAATAACAGGAAGTGTTATGAGAGTCAACCGTTAAAACAAATCTGAACTTGTATGTTTATTATACCATAGGACGCAAATAACTAAGCCAAGAAACTCAGAAAGATAAATTACTTTTCTCTCAAAGTGAATTTATTTTTGTTTAAGTGTTTTAAACGTGTGTAAATCAGCAGCTATATATACATATCAACAAAGAAGAGACGGTTGTATCTGTGCAGCTCAAAGTGTCTCATCTCTTCATCTGCAGCCCTGTCAGCTGGGGGCGTTCAGGATGATAAACCAGGGTTGTATTCCCGATACTCCGGGGGTTTGCTGCACCAGCAGGTTAGTATGCTGGCTTCCTAACATCACTTGGCTCGAGACGTTGTGAGGAACCTCTTCACGGTTCGAAGGCCTCTCCTGCTGCGAGGAGCGCTCCCCGGGGATGGGGATGGTCTTTAACTCCTCCACAAAAGGAGTTGGGTCCTCCAGCACCTCATCAAACACCAGCCTCATCAGGTCATCCACGTAATCTGTAAAACAATTCATTCAAATGAGTTACCTGCTTTTCAATTATAATCTTCTGAATCTGTCTTCCTTGTACGTATTTGTGAGGTGATCAATCAAAATCCCTTAGACCCCAAACACATTTTGAGTTAGTTATTTTGCGAGCGGGCTAACAGGCTTAATATTTTGGATGCATAGTACCCCTAAAACAATGCTGTTTGTACTCGGATGAGGGAAAGTCGGAGAGTGTGTGCTTGTGCTGTGTGTATTTTCAAGGAAGCGCACGCGTCACACACCGCCTGTGGTAATGCCTCTGCAGTTATGTTGCTCCAATCACTGCCCATCATCGTACATTTACAAACTTCAACGCTATATTCATTATCTGAATATTTCAATACAGTGAAACCTAGACTTTTCTAGAATTTTTATTTTTGCGAAAAACCCTCTGTCCCGGCCCCTGCCATGTTACTATCAGCCTGTCGGGGGGCGTATTTCAGAGTGAAAGGAGACGGCGATCGCTGAAGTTGAAGTTCATATTCTGAAAGGCAAGACTTTGTTCCACACCATGCTCACAAACCTATAGAACACACTACAGGAAAAGAAAACCCCCAAAAAGGAGAATAGGGCCTCTTTAAATAAAGCGATGTTAGGACTCACTGTGTGTTGGCTCTGTTTTCACTGGCTTGGTGATGCATTCACCCTTGAAGTCCTCGAGGATCACGACCTTGTAGACCACTTCACGGTTTGCATTTTCATTAAAATGCATGACTGCTAAGTACAACCTGCAAAATAGAATAGCAAATTAGGATGAACAACAATTTGATTTTGTTGTTGCAATTTTTAGCCACTAATAGTTTGTTACCTGCACAACATCTCCATGAAAGGGAGAACCCCATTCTTCGGCACGAAGCGCTGGATGAGTCTGTGGAAGGCCTCCAGAGATGCAGTCTGGTTGTGATGACTCAGCTTCTCTACATCCCCCACTACTGTCTTGTTAACGAGGACTTTTTCCAATTTGTTGAGTGCAATTGAACCTTAGATTAAAAAGACAATCCATACAAATCAGTCCATACAAAGACCAATCAGTATTTCAAAAGAGATACTTGAAATGATTCTTGTGGGTGTTCTTTTTGGAGTCATATTACGAATACATACCTGGTTTGACATATTTACTTTCATCCCGGGACACTTTGACAGGATGCTCACACTTGGGGAAGATGGGGTCTTTGTGCACGTGTACATTTTGCACATGGTTCACCAGTGAAGTCCACTTGGCCACCTTCTCGTGCCCTGAAGTTGAGGACACTGCGGTCCAGTAGACGTGGTTCTTGATGCTGCGCAGCCAGTTCTTCAGCACCCCACAGTCCTTGCTCTGCGACAGTTTTTTAAGTTTCACGGATAAATCTGCAAGAATGTACAGATGTGTTAAATGAATATACAATGACAAAACGCACCGTGTATTTGATGAGGTATACAGTGATAAACATTCACCTTTCTCAAAGTGCCACACGTCGTAGAACTGTGTGATGTTGCGTTCGCTCAGAAACTTCTGGATCTGTGGACGGCGGTCTGTCACGATGTACTCCACTGGCAAACAGTTAGACTCCAGAACATTCAGGCAGCGCTTCAGCCCCTCCTTCTCCATGTGGATCCTACCTCCTACTTCATTGCTCTGGTGGCAAAAATAAATAGGGCTGTCAATGTTAACGTGTTAACACATGCAATTCATCCGGAAACAGTTACACGTTTAGAAAAATGAACGCAAATTAATAACATAACTAAGTTTGAGTCCTTCCGTAATTCCACAGGGATTTTCACAAGATTCAAGGCTTTATTGTCATGTGCACATTAGCTACAGTGTAGATATGGCAATGAAAAATCTAAGTCACATGCTCCTCCAACAGTGCAACAAAATGAAAACTATGAATTGCATGTCCGTGAGAAGGCAAACAAAAGTGGAGTAATTGGCACAAGATACAGTTGCAAGAAAAAGTATGTGAACCCTTTGGATTCTCCACACATAGCGTTGTGTGTTCCTTCCAAACAACTCAACTTTGGTTTCATCTGTCCACAGAATATGTTGCCAGTAGTGCTGTGGAACATCCAGGTGCTCTTTTGCAAACTTCAAACGTGCAGCAATGTTTGTTCTGGACAGCAGTGGCTTCCTCCGTGGTGTCCTCCCATGAACTCCATTCTTGTTCAGTGTTTTACGTATCGTAGATTCGTCAACAGAGATGTTAGCATGTGCCAGAGATTTCTTTAAAGGTCACATGTCATGCTTTTCCGGTTATTACCCGTCCCCTTGTGTGTTATGAAGGTTTTTATGCATGTAAACGGTGTGCAGAGTCAAAACCCTCAAAGTACACCATGTAGCGAGTAAAACTCTAACACAGAAAATACCTCCCCAAAACGCCTCGTTGGTGAAACGTCATCATCCATTTGATTCTTCCGGGGACATCTGATGTCATGTCGTACCCGGAACGAAATGGACCAATCCGTGGAGCCGTTACGTTACGTCCGCGGAGCCTTTACGTTAAGCCCCCGCTGATTGGTCCAAATTGACCAATCCACGGACTTCCTCACACACTCAGTGCATGCAGCTCTGCTGATCTCTCCTCCCGGGCTGCAGGCTGATAACAGACAGTTGGGATCGCGGCGAAATTCTCTCTGCAGACCCATTCTCACAGCGTTTATCGACCTTTTTCTTACTCAATATCAAGCCACACTTATTGTTTTTACTTCGGCTGTGACTTTGTGTGTGCTCAGGGTGAGTTTCGCTGTGTATCGCTAAACAAGGAAATCATACCTCCACGGAGCTTAGCGCGAGGGGGGGGGCAAGAGCTGCAACGAGCCGTTTAGTGGAGAGAGTGAATACACGTAGTTTACAGAGATGCTGTATGCGAAACAATGTGAGTTTGGAAAATTGCACAGTATAAATCTATTCTAGTAGACCTCAACAATGGAATTATGGTCAGTGGAAATGGCCATGACATGTGACCTTTAAGTCTCTAGCTGACACTCTAGGATTCTTCTTCACCTCATTGAGCATTCTGCGCTGTGCTCTTGCAGTCATCTTTACAGGACGGCCACTCCTAGGGAGAGTAGCAACAGTGCTGAACTTTCTCCATGTATAGACAATGTGTCTTACATGAACATCAAGGCTTTTAGAGATACTTTTGTAACCCTTTCCAGCTTTATGCAAGTCAACAATTCTTAATGGTAGGTCTTCTGAGAGCTCTTTGGTACGAGGCATGGTTCACATCTGGCAATGCTTCTTAAGAATAGCACATTCAAAACTGGTATGTATTTCTTATAGGGCAGGGCAGCTTTAACCAACACCTCCAATCTCGTCTCATTGATTGGACTCCAGGTTGGCTGACTCCTGACTCCAATTAGCTCTTGAAGAAGTCTTTAGCCTAGGGGTTCACATACTTTTTCCACCCTGCACTGTGAATGTTTACATGGTGTGTTCAATAAAAACATATAATTGTTTGTGTGGTATTAGTTTAAGCAGACTGTGTTTGTCTATTGCTGTGACAGATGAAGATCAGAACACATTTTATGACCAACTTATGCAGAAATCCAGGTCATTCCAAAGGGTTCACATACTTTTTCTTGCAACTGTACATGTATACACTGACTGGAGTACATTGTGAGGCTACATACACTTAAAGGGGCCCTATTCTGCTCACTTTCAGGTTATATCAGTATGTAGTGTCTCTACTGTGACATGTCTCCATGCTTTAATGTTCACAAAGCTCTTTATTTCTCTCATACGGCCTGTGCTGCAGCACCTCTTTTCACCCTCTGTCTGAAACCAGAGCCCAGTCTGCTCTGATTGGTTAGCTGGCCGGCTCTGTGGTGATTGGGCAACTGTCAGAGATGACCCGCCTCTTCGCCTATCACGTACAATGTGTTTGAGCGCTAGACAATAGCAGCACGCGTGTGACATAGTGATGTCACTATGTTACAGAAGTGAACAAAGGAGTCCGAATGTAGCCTTTACAGACCATTTACATACACAAAAACCTATAGTACACTACAGGAAAGGGAAAACCACAAAAAGGAGAATAGGGCCTCGTGAAATAAGCATTAAAAGAAAAATGCAGAAAATTGTAACACACCTGAACGAGCTGCAGGTCCACAATGCGGTTGCTCTCCAGGTGCATCAGAGTGTAGCTGCCATACTTTTTCCCTGAAAACAACACGACAGACAATGGTAAGACTTTTAACATCATTTAATGTACAAGTTGTTTGCTTTATTTTAAACAGACCCGTCAGGTCTTTTTGGTCAGAGTATTGGCTTACCCGTTGTTTGCATATCTCCACCAACTGCGACCTTTCCACCCTGGTGTAGCTTCTGCAGGAGATTGTGCTGATCCACCTTCCACTTGTAGACAACAGCAGGCTCCAAGAAACTCCTAGCATGCTTCCTGAAGGTGTCATATGGAAAAATCTGGAGATGCATGGCCTTGCATATCTACGAAAAACATGAGAAAAAGTTGTAAAAAAGGTGCCCTGATTGAAATGTTCACATGCTAAAGGTGGCATTAGCAATACCTTTTCCAGTTGGGAGAAGCATGACCCGGTGAAATATGTGGCTGCTGAGATCTGGAGGTTTCCAACGGGGGTGCTCCCGACCACAGGCTGGCTCTGCCACCGTCTGGAGTAAGTACAGTTCTGGCAGAGCTGGGTGAATGCCACGAACGTCCCCATCCGTCGCCGCAGGACTTCACAGCTCCTCTTACATACAGGACAGGTGTCGAACAGCTCTTTGAGGCAACTCTCGAAAACGATGTACTTGCAGTCGCTGTACGTGGGCCTAACACCAAACAGAAGAAATGAAGACGTTGGCTTAATATTTACAATATTGCTGTGCAAATACCTCCTAGGAATATTTCACTAAAATATTCAAACTTACGGCGTTTCGGATCCCTCTGTAACGACAGAGCCAACAGGGCTGTACATTGCTTCCTTAGGCTCCCTCTTGACTTCTCTGGTAGGGTCCCATACATCCTCTTCCTCCTCCTCTTCTTCCTGCTCCATATCGTACTCCAACTCAAGACGAGGCCTCTTTCTTGGCCTCAAACCTGGTGTCTCTATAGATGTCGAGGGCAAATGGAAATCTGGGTGACTGGAAAACGTTTCGTTGTCAACTCTGAGAGAGGACTCTGTTGTCTGGCTGCCTGTGAATGAAAGGGAAAAGACACAAATATGTCACTGCTATAACATTGCTTCATGTTATTTCTGCTGGACCTTTTTTAAATCTCAAGTGCACTGAATATCAACGTATGACGCACATATAACTAACTTGTTTTACAGGTACTGCATCTCAAACACAAAAACCAAGTTACATACCTTTGCTTCTCACGTGCCTGTGCTTCAGAGTTCCCCAGGCCAGCTGTGTGCCGACCGTCACCTTTTTTGGAAGTATCAAAACCCTCGTGCCCACTGACATGGTTTGTGGAGCGTCAGTCTGGCATCCTACATCATGGAATCTGGCTAAAGGTGCGATGATCTGATTTTATTAAAAGAAAGGGCAATTAGATACATCAAGTTAATTTTACATCTGATGAACATTCAGAAACTAAAAAGCACATTAAGCTTGTGTTGCACAAACACGGCCCAGTCTTACATCAAGAACAACTACACTGCTTGTTAGAGCCAGTCTTTTGTTTTTATAAAAGAAGGCCAAAATGTCCCCTATTCGTGACCTCTGTAGTCAAGACACTATAAAAGACTACAATTCCCACGGTGCCAGCCTCTGAAGAGACACAGAGATGGGAAACCTGTGCAAAAGATGCCGTCGAGACACCGTTTTTAACCGCTAAGGTATATTAGCTTACACAAAGTAAAAGAAAGAAAGAAGTCTAAGTTGTTTGAGTTTTGACTCTTGTTTTGATTTGTTTGACTATTCTAAATGGCTATTTTCTTTGATGAAAGTATGTGAAAAGTGTATTATTTAATTTAGATTAAACGTGATTTGCATAGCATCAAGACATCATCAGAAGCCAAACAAGTCATCACAACAAATGAAGGAACGATCACACGTCAAAACTGTCTGTTGAAGGCGACTTGATAGAAAAAAAGGAAGGAAGTAGTGACACTGTTGTATATGCAACGTTATAGTGAACCTAATTTTAACATGGCAACAAGTAAAAGGACATCCAAGTTGCTGACCTGATTTTGGTCAGAAAAGTAAAGATTCTATGAAATTAGAACAGTTAATGATTGCATTTATAAAAGCTCCGGTGTGCAAGATTAACTGATGATATTCAAATGTGTTAGAGTGGTAGGCGTGGACTTTGAGGACCCATTGCTGACTTACCAGGAAATAAACATTTTGATTGTTTTGCCTCATGTTCCCACTCATCTGTTGGTTTAAATAACTCCATAGGAACACTTTGCTGCACATTCAGTGCGTGTGTGACGCTGTGATTGAGAAGCCTAACTCAAGAAAGTTACAGTAAGGACAAGAGACTGAGAAAGTAGACGTGTACGCCTGTTCAAAACAGTACCTCATTAACTCTTTAGTGTTCTTGTTGTCAGTTTAACATTTGTGTATGGCTATTTATCTGATGCCAAGTTGATTTAAGACCTGTTTATACCTTCATGCGGCCTATAAGTGAAACACGTTGTTTACACACAGCTTGAAAGCAGCTAGCAGCAAGTTGTGATCTGCAGCGATCATGATGTATATTAAAGACTACACCTGTTTGCCTTTCATGACAATGATACACATGACTACACTGTGCAGCACACATATATCCAGATAACCCCCTGCAGTTTGCCTACAGAGCAAACAGGTCCACAGACGACGCCATAGCCCTCAACATCCACACTGCCCTCTCACACCTGGACCAGAGGAACACATATGTGAGAATGCTGTTCATTGATTACAGTTCAGCCTTCAATACCATTGCGCCCTCCAAGCTGGTCATCAAGCTCAAATCAAATCAAATCAAATCAAGTTTTATTTATATAGCACATTTATAAACGATTTTTGGTCGACCCAAAGTGCTGTACATATAATAAAATTAGCCTACAGTAGACACTTTACAGCAAATACAACAACACAGATTGTTCAGAATATCAGTATGAGAAAAAGACCTCAGGCTCAACAGCGCCCTCTGTGTCTGGATCCTGAACTTCCTGATGGGCAGACCTCAGGCAGTGCGGGTGGGAAACATCACATCCTCCACCCTGATCCTCAACACCGGAGCCCCTCAAGGCTGCGTGCTCAGCCCTCTCCTCTACTCCCTGTTCACTCACGACTGCGTGGCCACACACAGCTCCAACACCATCGTGAAGTTTGCTGACGACACGACCGCCATCGGCCAGATCACAGACGGCGACGAGTCGGCGTACAGAGAGGAGGTCGAAAACCTGACATCTTGGTGCCAGGATAACAACCTCCATCTCAACGTCAGCAAAACAAAGGAGCTGATTGTGGATTACAGGAAGCAGCAGAGAGAGGGACACGCCCCCATCGCCATCAATGGGACTACGGTGGAGAGAGTCAGCAGCTTAAGGTTCCTCTGTGTCCACATCACTGAGGACCTGACATGGACTCTTCACACCACCACCATCACCAAGAAAGCTCGACAGCGGCTCTTCTTCCTCCGCAGGCTGAGGAGGTTCAACATGGACTATTTTTCTTTTTGTATTCACTATTTACTCGCACTATGTTTTTCTGTTTTATTGTGTTGCACTGTTGGAGGAACCAACCCAGTCTCACAAAAAAACGTGTAATAACTACGTTGGTCCACAACGTAGGACGTAGTATTTCTACAAAAACGGCTCTGAATTTGTAAGATCCCTACGTTTTTTTCACCATTCATTCCAATGGCTGGCGTCTACAGTATGTCACGTGATCTTCAAATTTCTCCCTTCAGAAAAAAGAAACATGGCCGAACTTCGTTTTATTCTCGGTGTGAAATGCCTATTTTAAAGTTAGTTTGGCCATTAAAATGCGTTTTGATGTCATTTGATGCGAGAAATATGAGTTTTTATTTCAGATTATGTGTGCAGTGGATGCACATGATCTTTAGTTTGCTAGTTATTACGAAGATTACTTCGGGAAATTGTGTCTATACAACGTTTTCATTGTCACCAAGGTGGTTGCTAGGGATGCTGCTATCGATATTATTTCTGTTATACGTTATTTTCCCCTGTGCAATTCTCCATTTACTCAACAATAACACATAATTATCCTTGTGTTTATTTATTTAACTGTCCTGAGAGTGGAGGTCTGCAGGCACAGGCAGGCTCCCATGGTCAGGACCGAGGGTCGGAGCAGCTAATTTGCTTTACAGAATATTACACCCGGAAGTAAGTATTCTCTCCGCTTCGCTTGACAAACCCGTTCTTATTATACATCCATGGACAAACCCCGTGATAGTCCTCAAGCTCTGTGATTGGAGAGTGTGCCGAGTGTCAAACAGCACTTGAAATGGGATGGAACCACGGCAGACTGTCCAAAACTGGATTTGAACGGGTCCACCCCGTCCCCAGAACTACACATGCTGGCTATTGTGTTTCGCAACCTTCGCAACATGCTCTATGGCACTCCTCTACTGGGAGTTGTAGTTTTAAAAGACGTTTTCGTATTTCCCATAATAAGAAGTGGCCAGTATTAAACTGTGTACATCCCTGGAGGTTTAGGGGATAGGAAACACTCAAATGTAAAACATATAATTAATAAATGGGTGAAAATTGCTTGTGTCCATAATGGGCAGCATTACCCACATGCCAGCTAAGGTCAGAAGAGCTTTATTTAACAGCTGGTCTTATGTTTGTGACCCCTCCTGTTGTTTATTGATGAGCCTGAAACATGCACTTGTCAAGGTTCAGAGGCACATTTTGCAAATATGGCAGTAGCCATCGATCATCTTAAGATAAGATATACTTTATTGATCCCAAGTTGGAAAAATGTGCATTACATCAGCATGTGTAACAGTTGTAAATATGCAGTGGTGTTTATTTGTAAATCATTTAGTATAATCACACAAATTCTGTGTTTTATATTTAATAATTCTGTGTTCTATATTTATTGATTGTTCAATACCTGACAAGGCCGGAGATGAAAAACTTTGGTCGCAGATTCCTCAACAGTGCATTACAAGACATCTGATCAATATGTGTGTATACCTCCACCATTAAACTGTCGTATTCTGCACATTTCTTATACTATCTACATACATCTTATATAAGAGTATAATACATATGTATAATATCAGTTAAAATAAGTGCTTCAACATAGTTAACATTGCTGGAGGTATACACAAAGTGTTTCATTCATTGCATAACTACACCGTTTGTGTATATGATATGTCAATAAACCTTAGAAAATCTTGAAATCTTGAAAGGGATGTGCAAAATATTCATTATATACAGTCTTTAATTAACTATTAGTAGAGAATAACGAGTAATGAATATACTTTATAGGGATCCTATTAATATCTAATAATAAAAATAATGAAATTCAATAACATGCTTTAACCACTAGGTGTCCCTTTATATCAGCTGTGCACCTTTATGGTGTAAATACAGCCTATTTACCAATTGGATCAAATATAAAAGTCAGCCGAATTAGTGTTGATACTGCAAGGAGACGTATTGTGTGAAAAGAAATGTAAGATGTTGTTTAATGGCTGATATATTTATGATCCACGTCACGTTTTCAGTTCCTCATGTTTGTCTAGAAGTCTTCTCATCAGGGCTCTATAAATACAGAACTACGGCAGATATGTAATATTGAATGCAGCCAAACCGTGTATTACAATGCCGTTATGTGATGACTTCCAAAGAGAAAAGCAAGCACACTCGGAATAAAGTGTTTTCGGTCTGTTTCCGGTATTTGTTTATGACGATGTGCTGTGAGATGTGAGACTGGAATTGCACAGGGGAAAATAACGTATCTATGCCACAATTTTAGATGCGGATTTTGTTAAACTAATACGTTTGCTCTGTGGACCAACACTATACATTGACGAGGAAGGGGGTAGCAATAAAGATTACACCATTAAACTGTTACACAACATAACAGAAATAATATTGATAGCAGCATCCCTAGCAACCACCTTGGTGACAATGAAAACGTTGTATAGACACAATTTCCTGAAGTAATCTTCGTAATAACTAGCAAACTAAAGATCATGTGCATCCACTGCACACATAATCTGAAATAACAACTCATATTTCTCGCATCAAATGACATCAAAACGCATTTTAATGGCCAAACTAACTTTAAAATAGGCATTTTACACCGAGAATAAAACGAAGTTCGGCCATGTTTTGTTTTTTCTGCAGGGAGAAATGTGAAGATCACGTGACATAGACGCCAGCCATTGGAATGAATGGTGAAAAAAAACGTAGGGATCTTACAATTTCAGAGGCGTTTTTGTAGAAATATTACGTCCTACGTTGTGGACCAACGTAGGTATTACACGTTTTTTTACGAGACTGGGTTGGAGGAACCTGTGACCTAAGATTTTCATTGTCATAACTACACTGTAGCTATGTTCGTATAACCAATAAAAGCCTTGAACCTTGAACAAAATATTCTTCTTTTACTTTTATACTTTCAGCTTTGTATTCCCTGACCCTAGATGTTATGTCTACTTGTTGTGTTGCCTTCCCTATTGTAAGAGCCATTTAGGCACATTATTTTATGGTAATGAATTATGGTTTTGTGAGCCAATTGAATATTCTTTAATTTAACTTAAATGAGCTGAATAACTATGAATTATTATTATACTGTTTTTGTTACGTTTTATCTTGCTTATGGACAGCTCTAGTTTATGTTTTGTTATTATTTATAGAAAGCAATCGTAGGGGCGTGCTCAGGTATAAATGACGTTGCCAGCATGACACAGCAGGAAGTCTGAGAGGAAGTTGGAAAAAGTGTTTGACCGCACACATCCGTATGACCGAGGGATCTTGTTTGTTTATTTGTTTAAATACCGTGCAAATATTGCACGTCGGCAGTGGGCCGCCAGCTGATCTATTGAACCTCTCAATAAAGCACCTGAATGGAACGAGCAAGTATCTGATTTCTTGAATATACGCGAGTCAATACTCGAACTCGCCTCCTAGACTAAGTGGCCTTTGAACATTAATTTTCTTTTGGACAATTGGCCACTGCACCTATGTCTGTAATGAATATGTCTAGGCTAGCGGTATTGCATATTTGAACTTAATTTGTGCACTGTGTTGATAAATATAAATAGGTTAATAAAATGTGCAATTAACACAACAAAGGTGATGTAACTTATGTAAAGAAGTGGGAAGTAACTAAGACATTTACTCAAGTAGTGTACAATTTTGAGATACTTGTACTTTACTTGAGTATTTCCATTTTACTTTGTACTTCTACCCCACTACAATTCAGAGGTCAATCATGTACTTTTACTTACACTTATTGTATACGTTTAGTTACTTTGCAGACTTTAATTAATGATTTGAAATATAATCAAGTGTTGAATCAGACTTTAGTTCCACCTGGAGTAAATTCACAAGCTACCCTGCAGTCTACAAAGTCATTCAAACTAGCTGCACCTTTACCAGCTTTGAGAACACTTTCATGATCAATCATTATAAAACATATCATATATATTATTCTGAAATGGACCAATCTGCACAATGACTACTTTTACTTTTGATACTTTAAGTATATATTTTTGCTAATACTTTCGTACTTTTACTTGAGTGACATTTTTAATGCAGAACTTTTACTTGTAACAGAGTATTCCTACACTCTGGTACTTTTACTCAAGTACAAGATCTGAGTACTTTTCCCACCTCTGCTTATGTAGGCTATTAAGTATGCAATTTGCAACACACTGAATGCCAACTTTGCCTCCTTATTACACTCACCCCTACTTTAGTGGGAACAATGAGTCTGCGTCTTTGATGCGCAGAGGCGGATGATGCAGGGATCAGAGTCCTGCATTGGGTCGGGTACCCGCTGGTGGTATTTAGCAGCCGCAGCATTTGCCGTCACACAACAGTCGGCCGTTCACGGAAATAACCGATTATGACCGATAAATTATATCATGAAAGTTACGCTACTTATTAAAACGTATGTGGTTAGTTGCCAAAGTGCTTTGTTTTGAACGTTCATCAGTATTATAATCAAAAAGAGAAATATGAACGTTAGTTTTTACTGAAATGATCAAATAAAGTCAACATCTCACAGTCTTTACTGAGCTGTGGGGTTTGTTCAACTTTTAAAAGATGTTTGAATGGTGATATACACAGTGATAGATGTTAAGGACTAACGTTTATAATAAATACATTTGTATTGATTTTAAGATATTTTCATAGTTCATACAATCATACGTATTGGGATCATTTGTATTAATGTGGACCGGAGGGAGAGGGTGACGAGCAGAAGTTTCACTTTCCTTTTTTATTTCAATTCCAACTTTGGTCATGAAGAATATGTTTCTCTGTTGTCCACGTTCATAAAGCATAAAGCAACAGCATCAGAGCACGGTGCAGAGTCTCTAGATGAGTTTACAGTAGCCCCTCGTTCTTATTATACATCCATGTTGTAGTCCGCTGTATAGAAAACTGTAGTTTCCATAGTTTCCCCACAGCAGCAGACGCACATTCATGACGTCCGCTGGCGCATCATAAACACGTCGGATAGTGAAAGTGCAGTCGGATTCTCTAAAGTACCGCAGTCTCTTCTCCTAAGTCCTTTTGAATTCTCCTATCCACTATCCCTTAACCCCGTGACGTTTCACACAGAGGTCAAGGAATAGACGATAGGGATAGACGTTAGGAGCTGATTTTTGGACTATTCGACCGCAACCGAGGAGTCGAGGAGGGGTAATTAGTGAAATGAGAAAGGGCTAGGGAGAACATCCATGGAGGAGAAGCTATCAAAAGTGATCACTGGGTCCTCAAAGTCCACGCCCACCACACGTCTGTGTATCTTACACACCGGTGATAGTATCAACTTGTCTTACGTTAGCAAGTTAGCCAACATACATTGTGTGACATATTTTACTAAGGTGGTGTTGGTCGTATTGGTTGGCTATGAACTATGAAATGAGAACAGAGACTGGGCAGGAACAACAGCACCAGAGTTATTATCAACTCAGCTAACGTTAGCAAGATAGCTAAGCTACAGCTGATAAGAGACCGTATCATAAAAGCTTGTAACAATACACCGACGACACTAGAGCACATTTCAACATGTTGTGAACGGAAAAGAACACCGCCATGTTTATAGAGTTGGTTGAAATAAAGCAGATAAGCACTACAGTTTGAACTTCATAACATTAGCTAGCAAATTAGCTGAGACTAGCACTGTGTTAGCAACTCCACAAATAATATGAAAGATTACTTACAGGTTGTGGCACCGGATTGCCAGGGTCACCAAACAAAGTAGGCACTGCCCCGTATTTCATGTGTAAACGTTGCGAAAATCCGTTTACGAACTGTGTGTGGTTCATGAAGCAGTCGTCGGTGAAATGTTGGGAACACAATGATAGGTTCGGGTTGAACTGTGTGGGAATACTGATGAAAATGAATTGCAGCCATTTCTTCCTCAACTCCTCTTCCTTCGGTAGTCCAAACAAGGGGAGTTTCCGTTCGCAGCGCATGAAACAGCGTCTTCTCGACATGGTGTCGCAGTGTTTAGGAACCACTTGGGTTCTGCTCGGTCCGGTTCTGACGAGCTTGTGCTGGGGAGCAGGCCGAGAGAAGCGTGAGGGGGATGGGGCTATGCAAATGAGTAACATAGTGATGTCACCACTCTATGGAATAACACAAAGGACCATCAACGAGGCGTTTGGGGGGGGGGGGGTTCTGTGCATGATGTGGTTTCTGTAGTGTGCCATCTATACGCCTACTGCCTGAATCTGCTTTATGGTTCACTTTCTTTGGTTAATTTGTTCTTTTTTAATTCAGTAGGTGAACCTATATGTTCATAAAATAGTGTGTGTTAAACTTTAAAAGGAGCATTTTCAGGTCATATTTCATTTGTGCTTTTTTAAGCTGGAGTGTGTGCTCATGTGTTTCAGTGTTGGTGCATATGCTGCTGCCTGAATATGCTGAGTGAAGGGCAGGTTTTCCTATCAATAAAATCATTTTTTATACTAAATACCTTGGTTTCTAAGGTTATATTGTTCTGTTATCTTGCAAAATATATTAATTTGTTCTCTTGTATTTATTTGCATTGTATCTGATATTGAGGTAATCCAAAAGTAATGGAAAGTAATCAGGTATCATTACTTTTATTGAGGTTACTGATTTGTTATAAAAGTAAATAGAAATGGAATACATTTTTAAAGTAACCCTCCCAACCCTTTATATATTTCCATTCTTCAGTGATCACTGGTTCATATCAGCCTATCCTCAGCTTCACCACTTGATGGCAGTCTTTAACTTCCTTCCTCTCTTGCTGCATGGATTTATCATATGTTCAGCTGTCCAGAGGTGGGAGAAGTACTCAGATCTTGTACTTGAGTAAAAGTAGAAGTACTCAGATCTTGTACTTGAGTAAAAGTAGAAGTACCAGAGTGTAGGAATACTCTGTTACAGTAAAAGTCCTGCATTCAAAATGTTCAAGTAAAAGTAGAAAAGTATTCTCATCAAAATATAGTGAAAGTAGCGACAGTAAAAGTAGTCATTGTGCAGATTGGTCCATTTCAGAATAATATATATGATATGTTTTATAATGATTGATCATGAAAGTGTTCTCAAAGCTGGTAAAGGGTGCAGCTAGTTTGAATGACTTTGTATACTGCAGGGTAGCTTGTGGATTTACTCCAGGTGGAACTAAAGTCTGATTCAACACTTGATTATATTTCATTCATCCACATCTGTGAAGTAACTAAAGGTGTTAAATAAATGTAGTGGAGTAGAAGTACAAAGTAGCATAACATGGAGATACTCAAGTAGAGTACAAGTACCTTAGTTACTTTACATCACTGCAGCTGTCCAGCATAGAGGATGAAGAGAGACATGCCATATTTTTATTCAGATGCCGATAGATGCTTACATTTACTTAAGCCCACACAGGATTCCTTTCTAATGATTGAGATGAATCACTGATCAATACTATTGATTGCATTCTAATCCAGTTTGGCTCTAACTTCCTGTGCAAAACTGATGCTGAAAGATTCCCCATACCGCTGCAAGCAGAACTGTTTAAAAAAAGTTAGCTTTGACACCAATGCAGGATTTGGGATTTTGATAACAGAAAGCAAAAAACTGTATCTGAAAGTATTGTTTGTAGTTTCATTTTTTTAGCAAGAAGAAAAGCATTCTATAATATTTGTTATAGTTTGCAACGTTGCATTTTACCCAGGGGTGGAACGTTATAGTAAATGTACTAAAGCAATACTAAAAGTATGATTTGGAGTTACTTGTACATTAACCGAATATTTTTCTTTTAATGCTACTTTAAAATTCTACTCCACTACATTTTCAAAATCCATATTTTACTCCAACGCATTTATTTGACAGCTTTAGTTACTTTAGAGATACAGATTATTTGTTCATACAAAATATAAACCAACATATAAATGAACATTGACATGATTACATGTTAAGATGATCAGCAGCAGAGTCATTTAATGTTCCTCCTCTTTTATCACATGATAGTCACAGACTGTATCAATCAATCAATCAATGTTTATTTATATAGCCCAATATCACAAATGTTACATTTGTCTCAGTGGACTTCACAGTTTGTACAGAATATCAGTATGACAATACGACACCCTCTGTCCTTAGACCCTCACATCGTACAAGGAAAAACTTCCAGAGAAAACCCACGGTTTAAAGGGAAAAATGGGAGAAACCTCAGGGAGAGCAACAGAGGAGGGATCCCTCTCCCAGGACGGACAGACGTGCAATAGATGCCGTGTGTAAATTGAAAAGATAATACATTTGCAACATAGGTAGTCCAAATGTTTGGAAATGCATGTGTGTATAATAGGAAGATGAATCCACGAGGATATCCATCCAGGACCTATGATCCAGGACCACAGCAACAGGCACAGCCACGACTCAAGATCCAGGGCTTGCGATCCAGGACACAGGACCGCAGCAACAGGATCAGCCATGACTCCGGATCCCGGCGTATATAGACACCAAAAAGACATTTGGGGAAGCTGGGTTATTCGGAACATGAGAGTACACAGGTACAGACAGAGAGAAGGAAGAATCAATAATAATAACTTATAAAAGGAAATGTGTTATTCTGTAAAGGGCATTACACATACGAGTACATTCATTTTTGGTACTTAAAGAGCAAATTGAGGCCAATCATCTTTTACTTTTACTTAAGATTGTTGAATGGAGGACTTGTAACAGTCACAATGTAGTTTTGCTGCTTTTACTCAATAAGAGTGGCTACTTCTTCCACCACTGGTTTTACCAAAGTAACCACAGTGCACAGCAGGTCAGCAACATTTTGAATCTTTTCTTTTGGTCAAATAATTCAGTGAGGCAAGCAAACACTTATACCTTAATATTAGGTGTTATAGGGTATGGTAAGATACAACATCAGTAGACAGCATTTGAATTTGTTCTGCAGATGGACAGTATCAAGCTACCCTATTTGAACTGTTGTTTTTTCATTGAAAGGAACCATTGTTTTTTGAATAATTGCAATTCCAACCCATTAATGAAGGCCACCAGCCATTTGTGAAAGCTAGTGGACTTTTGTAAAGAAACTGCTATTTTCAAGGTCAAAATAGAACATAAAAACTCAATCATCAGGATGTTTTTTATTATTAAGTATTATTAAGCTCATAAAGAACCATAAAGGACCGTTTTTACTGGCTGAATAGTCCTTTTTGAGACGAGTTAACTGATACATTTTTAGGCTTTTTGAAAATGAAATGAATCAAAATGTACTTGCTGTACATTATCTCTGTTAGATTAACCTGGAGATCATTATGAAATTACTGGACCCAAAACATAAAAAATGACCATCCAGGCACTACGGTACAGATAACTACCATTGTCGGAGTAAAGTGTGAAAGATGTTCCTCACTCAGCATGTAATCAAATCATGCAGGATAAAAGCAGTGTGGATGTAGCAGGGTGAGTCACACCTGCAGATGAACATCCTGCTGCAATGTCCCGGTCGTGCTCCATGTCATTCCTGTGGTCGTACTTCACCCTGGCTCCTGTAGCACCTGCAGCATTGCCGTTTGTACACAATGTGACAGACTATAGAGAACTCGATTAGGGCCCTGGCAGAGAGAGCATTGATCTGCCCAAGTGTTGTCTGAGTAAGCTTTGCAGCAAAGTCACACCATCCCTCCTCTCCAGCAGAGTTTATCAGAGAGAGTCCCAGAGACATGCCATCAGAATCGGAATATCTATCAGTTTAGCTAAATCTTTCCCGATCTTGGCCGTATTCTTCATCAAGCTTTGCTCCTGTGTTGTTGGCTGTGATGTTGTGAGCCTTGAGGGATGAAGCAGCAAAGAAACGGCGAAGCAGACTGTGCCTATCTGTGTAGGGCACAGCTTGCTGGATCAGCATTTTGCTCAAAGAGACCAAGAGAGAAACACTCTATTCATGGGTTATGAGGCCGGTAAAGGGCCACAGGGAGCGCAGGCAACAAGCTACATCTCTTCATACTTGCTTTTAATTGCCATTTTTAGTAAGATGTGAGAAACACCTCCAGGAGCCAGAACTTTTGCCAGAAAAGTAAAGCAGACACGGTAAGGTCCACTTTATAGCCTTTTCACCTTCATTCAAAGTGTGAATCAATACACAACATGGAGGCTGGAACAATACGCTTGGCAAATTGCCCCTTTAAAAAGGCACATCGGGGAATTGGGTTCATTTATTTAAGAGCTCCTTTGTTGCTAGTTGAGGTACTCAAATTGGCCTCAGACGACAGCAGTTTCTTATGCCCGACTCACCCCTCCCAGAGCTGTACGGTTGTTTTAAACCTGATTAACTGGTAATGTGAGTGTTTTACAGATCTGAAAGAGTCTTAAAAGGGGCCTAAATATACTTTTTAGGAGTTTCGGTTTTCCTGTATTGTGTTATAGGTTTTTGTAAATGCATGTAAATGGTGTGCAAACACTTCCCTCCAAAAGGAGTGCCTTAATCGCCTCCATTGGACTCCTTTGTTTACTTCTGTAACATTACGACATCACTACGTAACATGCTTCTATTGGCTACCACTCCAACACATGGTACGTGATATGCTATCGGGGGGGGGGACATTTCCGACACATCTCTAAGTGGTCCACCAATCATAACAGAGTCGGCCAGCTAACCAATCAGAGCAGACTGGGCTCTGGTTTCAGACAGAGGGTGAAAAGAGGTGATGCAGCACAGGCAGTATGAGAAAAATAAAGAGCTTTTAGAACATTAAAGCATGGAGACATGTCACAGTAGAGACACAAATTCAACTACGAACCTCTTTAAACCTCCCTACCTGCTTGCAAACCAATTCAAGAGGTACAATATTTGAGAGGTAATATAGATGATTCAGCAGTTCTTTCAGAGTGCAACTGCAGTAGCCAGTAAAAGAGACAAAACAACAGTAAACCTATCAGCCATTAAAAATAACGTTAGCATAGGTAGCATACTGCTGTTGACTCGACTTGATTAGCCTTTTGTTTTTTGTCACTGTGGAACATTTCTACCCTAATTTGTTTCATCACATTTTGCTCAATTGTTTATACATCTGCTTCCCCATGAGATCACTCGAGGTGGTGCACTCTGCCATGATAATCCTAATC